TGTTAGGCAAGATAATACCTTGCGCCTTTTGCCGCCAATACTATTGATGTTGGTATGCGTATTTGTAACCATTGCTGTAGTTATCTTCATAGTGACTATTGTTGCTGCTACTGCCAACGTCTCCATCAACGAGCTCATAAGATTCATCATCGCAATTCGATTAATCGTTAATGCGGTCAACTGGATTTTCTGGCTTGCGACAAATCCAAAATAAGCTCTCATATTCACTTTTAAGCATGGATTGTGGGTTTTATGATTATTTAGTGCGTACGCCTGTTTGGCTACGAAGAAAATCAAAGCCAACCATTTTCTCGCCCCGTATATAGTTGAAATGATAAAGTAGTAGGCCCAAATTCACCCAAATGCCGCCTGGTTTCAATATTCTGAAAACAAAAAAAAATATAGTTTCGAAATTGCAATTTGATTTTGTATTTTAAGCAAACTTTCAACATTAAAAACTGCCCTAGTTGCAAGCGTTAAAATTATGCAAACATAATAAATTATTACCAAAATAATTTCATATAAGTCGTACACACTCGTGCTTATATATGTATTTATCTTAAGCGTGCATAATTTAAATCATTTGCCCACATGACAGGGACAATTAAGTTAAATAAGTACATACCATGATAAAAATATTTATAAGGTACAATCGCTGAGAGCCAGCTTTGGGAATTTTGACGTTTGCTAGCACTTTTGAAAATTACTCTCGACGTCATTTCATTTGTTTGTTTTTATTTTCACTCAAACCAAAGAAATATATTTCTGTCGAAACATTAAAATTTGAATGTACATTCATAGATATGTACATACGTATGTATGTATGTACATATGTAAATAAATAAATGTTAGCTATTGTGTAATGAATTTCTGCCCACATGCTAAGGCGAAGATTTTGGCATACATTTAAACAAATGTAACCTTGAAGTCACTGCACTCTTGCTAAGAACTATCTTGGGTCAAGTTGTGTGGCAAAAAATGAGCCTAGCGCACATAGGCACTTGGGAAAATCCGCTGCCCTAACACCACCAACCTCGATCAAGTTTTGCGTACACACGGTAATTGCAGGAACTTGAAAGAACTTTATACTGCTTTGCTTGCAGGTAAAAACGGTATTAACGCAACTGCTAACCCAGCATCTCATAAAACTTTAAGTTCTTCCCACATTTGAATAAATAAATTTTCTAATTATAAATTTTCATTTGTTTATTTTGAATTATTTCGAGAGAGTAAACTCAAAATGCTAGCAAACGTCAAAAAAAAACCCAATGGCGGACGAATTGAGCGAGCGGTTTTACATTTAAATATTTGTATCATGGTACATACCTAAAAATAGCTTCAATAAAGTCCACAATATTAATAGCGCAGTCGATAAAGAAGAAAGTGGCGACACAATCATAGCTGTTAGGCGTTTTGTAGACCTACAAAGCACAAAAGTTTATGTGCGATAAAAATAAGCACATACATACATATGTACATATATACGTACCCAGCCATCAAAATCATCGTAATCGAGCTCGTAACTGGATATTTTCTTGAAGAGAAACTGGATGAAAAGTCGTGGATAAAAAGTTCGTAAAATGTACGTTTTCTTGCTGGCTGGGTATGTACAAAGTATCAAAGTTTTATGAACATTCGAAAATACTTCTAAGGTGTAAATAAACACCATTGGATATAAATGCGCGTGGATGTGCTTGTTTTGATTGATGGTAGTGACCACAAATGATGGAGCTTTCAACTGAATTTGCTCAGACAACAACTCCAATTGTGATACGGAAATACGCATTTGCAACCAAAGTAGAAATTTACGTACATATCATTAAGTTCATCAAATATTTAAGCTATAGTCTCACCTGTTTGAAATCCCAAGTACCAACAAGCGTTGCCATGGATTTTAATTCCGGCTGACATTTTCAGGTCCTATTCTTTGAGTGGGGATGATGTCGGTGTGCTGATGAATTTCTCATCTTTGCTGTGACTAACCGACACAATCAGCGGTGGCGTTTCTACCTCGCCAGGAGGTGGTGAAACAATGTTTAACACGTGACCGAGAGTATGTGCCTTTAAGATGTAAGTTTACAGGTACGTTGCAAATATGCAGTTGGCGTTGCGATAGCTGGTTCATTGACGCAGTGAAGTCTGGAAATATATTATATCATATTAGGTAATTATATTATCACATAGATTATTATATAAAAGAAACATATATATGTAAATGTAAGTGCGGATATAATACTGGCACTGGTAGGTACTGACTGTGTTTAATGCCTGGAAGCTTGTACTAAGACGTGTGCCTGCTCAATTTCAATTGGATACAATTTCTGAAATATAAATATGATTAAAAGTTTGAACGCAAATAATTTAATATTTAATTTTACCAGTTTAAAGAGTTATTTTATTTAACTTTTTGTAGCGTACCAGCCTTTGCTTTGCCTTCTTCACTTTCAATTTCTTCACAATCAATTTATTTAGGTGGCGCACTCTAAACAGTATCCGGCATTTAAAGAAAAACTGCTTGACGCTGTCTGGAACGTCTACATTAGCTGCTTTGTTCAGAAGGCGCTGCTTTATATTTTTCCAGTGCGCTATTTCCTGTAAATTAACAGCAAGGAATACCGACTCCAAGCTCCTAATACGGTCTATAAAAAGGGGTGAAGGCTTTTCAAGGTACCCTTTCGACACCTGATCGACCCACGTAAAAGTTGCGTTACTGGTGTCTTCGTGCTCACCAATTATATATCCAGCCATATATTCTAGCGCATCGCCATGCAGCACATCAGCATCGCCATGTATCACATCGGTTCCCCCATGGAGCACATCACTGTCGCCTTCTAGCACATCTGGATCGTATTCCAGCACATCGCCATCACCATTGGCGTGAGCGACACTCAGAGCGTAAACGGCCTCTGGTTGTGCTTCCAAAGGCTCTGGTTCTCCTACTTCCTGTTCATCTGGTGCGCTATTTTCGAACACCCCGATTCCACACAACACCTGCGGGTTTGATGTGTTCAGCCCTTCAACAGAATCCTGCTCGGCGTTGCCTGTTTTGTTCAGATTTTCGGCATTACTTGCTGAAAAATAATTCAGAGGGGCTATTCCTAGACGAGTCAGCGACACATATCGTACCGCTATCATAACCTTGCGGTATTAATAACACACGTCAGCCAATTCCGATAGCGATCCGAGTATTGTCGTTAACTGGTTTGAGATTAGGTATACAGGTGTGGATAATATACAATTAAATATACATTTAAAAGATATTTTTTGGCAAACTTACCTAAAATGTATTTTCGGAGCCTGTACCTAAACTCCTTCGGTGTAGGGTGGTCGTTTAATCCTCCCTTGCTTCGTATATTTCCGAAGAAGTGCTCCAGCAAATCTTGATTTAGACGCCGTGTGACAACGTAGTTGAAGTTGTACTTCACTACCACATACTCGTACAACTGTAACAGTGCGTTATTTGTTACCAAAACACCCATTTGAACTTGTATGCTATTTTTGCTAGGGATGATAACATCCGACATGAAATTATTCATTCGTCCCAAAATCTCAAGCTTCCGCTGCATCTTCCGTCCAAATGGTTCCTTTAAGTAAATTATATGCAGGTAATAAGTTGCGAGCTTTATGAAATATTACCTTTCCAGGATAATTGGACGTTTTAATGGAGGAATTGAGCACGTCGTACCAATCGTTCACCAACTAAATTAGTTCAGCTGTCTCAATCGCTTCTTCTATGTCCAACCCCAGATCGTAGCAGCGCAGCATGGCTTTTGCAGTCGTGTTAGAAAGCAACTGTGTCGCCAATTTTGCCTTTTGTCTGCCTGAAATTTTGCGTGAATTATATTAGCTACGGGATTATAGAATAGTTATTATTAACATACTTATCCCTTTTACAGCTAAGTGCTCTTCTGTTAACTTGAATGTTATAGATAGGTCGGATACAGATGTGTACCTCATAACATCAACTATTGCGCGCGTGGTTATTATACGGTCTTTCCAAAAAATCCACTATCAATAAAATTATTTCGGATGAGTTTCAACAGAGCATCCGCAAATGCGAAAACCTTCGCCCCTGGATCAATAGGGTTGCTGAACCGTGGGTGTTCTAATTAATTGTTAATTAGCTCTAGAAAATGTATTAGTGAATTAAATATATACCTGGAGTGATTCCGAGGTCTCTCCAAAGCTTTTGGTTGGATGGGCCCATATCGCAGACCATCGCAAGAACAGGGAAGCCAGCATTTTGCACAGCCGAAATAATCGTATGCAAAGGTTCGACGTTTATTTTACAATCAAAATCGTAACATACTGGCTGCTTCCAGGATTTTAATAATCCAAGCGCCATAACTACTTGAACATAATTTGCCGGCTTCCTGACGAAGTCGTCGGTAAGCTCATACTCAGAAGCTTCTGTGACCTTCATCTCGTCGAAAGCCAGCACACACACTTTTTCGACGGCAGTGAGCTCCTGAATGTGACGCATTAAGTCCAATGCAGCGGATAACATTCCCTCACCACCACTAATTTTACGGTACCACCTTTGAAGTGTGCTTATATGTGGCAGGGGGAAGCCTTTCGCATACAGATGCCTATATGCTCGGGGTCCGGCAGCGTGAATACATATGGCGAATAAATATCGCTCCACGAACATCTAACGTTTTTGTCTACAAAACAAATAAAATCTTATAGCAAATTTACAGAATTTGGTTTAATTTTATACATACCTTTTGCAATCATTTTTCTAATCTGTCCGTCTGTGAATATGGACCGAATGGAAGACATCAAAGATGCATTTTCGTCCAGCTGGGCTTTAAGTTTCGCGTTCTCCTTAAGCAGCTGCTTATTTTGCGCTTTCAAATTGGCAATTGGTTCACATATTTTCCCACCGTGACGGTGACAACTAAAATATTTCAACTTTACCACCTACATGCATCTATATTTTAAGGCTCTGATCTTAAAACATACTTACAAAGGTGGTTTTATAAAGAGCGTTGGAACAGAGTTGGGCATCAAGTGCGTTGGTTGTGCGCCACCAATCAAATCCGAGCTCGCGAAATGCTCCCCGCAAACTACATGGTTTGCTGTGAACGTGATGCCACATGCTCTGTTCCAAAACAAAAAAACAATGGTTTTGAAATTGGAATTTGATTTTGTATTTTAAGCAAACTTTCAACATTTAAAATTGCCCTTGTTGCAAGCGTTAAAATTATACAAACATAATAAATTATTACCAAAATAGTTTCAATAAGGCGTACACACTCGTGCTTATATATGTATTTATTTTAAGCGTGCATAATTTAAATCACTTGCCCACATGACAGGGACAATTTAGTTAAATATGCACATACCTAAAAAGAGTTTCAATAAAGTCCACAATATTAATAGCGCAGTCGATAAAGAAGCAAGGGCGACACAATCATAGCTGTTAGACGTTTTGTAGACCTACAAAAAACAAATATTTAAATGCGATAAAATAAGCACATACATACATACATATATACGTACCCACCCAACAAAATCATCGTAAACGAGCTCGTAACTGGATATTTTCTTGAAGAGAAACTGGATGAAAAGTCGTGGATAAAAAGTTCGTAAAATGTATGTTTTCTTGCTGGCTGGGTATGTACGAAGTATCAAAGTTTTATGAACATTCGAAAATATTTCTAAGGTGTAAATAAACACCATTGGATATAAATGCGCGTGGATGTGCTTGTTTTGATTGATGGTAGTGACCACAAATGATGGAGCTTTCAACTGAATTTGCTCAGACAACAACTCCAATTGTGATACGGAAATACGCATCTGCAATCAAAATAGAAATTTACGTACATATCATTAAGAGCCGGTTGTTCAATGTCTGATTAGCGCAAATCGGAGGTAGAAGCTCCGATTAAGCACAACTACCGCTTATCGATCACATGTCACATGCATGATGTCGAAATCGTCGATAGTGTAGTGGTAGTGATAACCAGACATTGAACAACCGGCCCTAAGTTCATCAAATATTTAAGCTATAGTCTCACCTGATTGAAATCCCAAGAACCAACAAGCATTGCCACGGATTTTAATTCCGGTTGACATTTTCAGGCCCGATCCTTTGAGTGGGGATGGTGTCGGTGTGCTGATGAATTTCTCACCTTTGCTGTAACTAACCGACACAATCAACGGTGGCGTTGCTACCTCGCCAGTAGGTGATGAAACAATGTTTAACACGTGACCGAGGCAGACAACAGCATGAGTTTACTCCCTTCGTACAAACAGTGAGATTCATAGTTAGTTTTGAAATCAATGTTTAGCTGCAGTGTACTCATTTGATTTCAAATATGGCATTGATATACTCTTTCCAAATCAAGTCAAGCGAGTGAAAAATGCTGTTATGAAAAGTAAGTCGAGCAATCGAATGACACCCATTGACTTCAAACAATTAGTAGAGAATACGACAATTTTGAAAAAAATGAATATTTTTTTTAGTATATTTTATATTTTTTAATATTTCTTACTATTTTTTTTAATATATTAGTTTTACTAAATTATTTAAGAAGAAATGCAATGTTACCTCAGAAGACATCGGCTTTATAAGGGTCTTGAAAAATAAGTTGCTTTATTATTTAAAAACAGTTGCTGTTGAAAACTAACAGATTTGCACAAAATTGTGCTTTTTTATACCCGCCAGCAAAAGAGCTCATGAACTTTACCGAATCTGAGCAAAGGTACACAAAAGAGAAATGTTTACAAATTATGAGAACGTTAACTGAGAATTCTGACAGTACAACGGAACCACAAATTGCGGATACACCTTTGTTACCTTCAGACAACTTTGAGCTGTTTTCAGGTCTTCTTAAACAACCTACCTTTGTGAGCAGAACTGATAAAGCTACTGCAGAGCTGCGGCGATATGAAAATATTGAGGTATATTTTCATACGGACTTCGATATAATTAATTGGTGGGAGGTACACAAATGCGAAATGCCGTTGCGGCATAAACTCAGTCGTAGAGTAATAGCCACTCCTTCAACTTGCGCATCGTCAGAAAGAGTTTTTTCTTCTGCTGGAAATGTTATTTCTGACAAAAGATGCCACCTTTTGTCAAATGATGATGCCCTTAATCAGTTGATATTTTTGCATTATAATATGCAGTTAGGAAACCAATAAAATTAACAAAAATTGTCTTTACAAATGTTTTTTCTTTGACACTTTCATTACAGCAGTTATGCCATGCACTTGTTTTTCAAATCAAGCACTTGTTATTTGAATAGAGCACTTGATAGTGTGAATTACTCACTCAACCGACAATGTTTTTTCAATGCTATCGCACGTTATGTTTGGAAATAACTGAGTGCGAGTGTGTGCAGATGTGAAAAGAAAGCGAGTGACTTAAAATGTAATTTGAGTGTATCCATGCNAGTCTTTACAAATGTTTTTTCTTTGATACTTTTATTACAGCAGTTATGCCATGCACTTGTTTTTCAAATCAAGCACTTGTTATTTGAATCGAGCACTTGATAGTGTGAATTATTCACTCAACCGACAATGTTTTTTCAATGCTATCGCACGTTATGTTTGGAAATAAATGAGTGCGAGTGTGTGCAGATGTGAAAAGAAAGCGAGTGACTTAAAATGTAATTTGAGTGTATCCATGCAGCTCTCTGGTATTTATTTATACATGTAAATAGTGTTTATTTTTTTTCCTTTTGTTTACCACAAACTGTTATGAAACAAGTAATTTTTAGCGAAAAAAAACCGACTTCAACTCTCATATAAAAAAAAAAAATATATATATATATCTCATGATCCACTGATCGTATCTTAACCAGATTAGTATGGGACCACCTCTGAGACACTACTTTTCCGATGCAAAAAGAATTATCGAAAATAAAGAAAAATCGGTTGACGTGGTCCAAAGTTATGCGGTAACATACATAAAAAAAAAAAAAGATTCCGACGAACTGATAACCTCCTCCCTTTTTGAAAGTCGGTTAAAAAGAGTATCCTTTGATTAAAAAAAAAATTAGTGCTTTTAGTACGGTAAAACGCTCTCTTTTCCAAGGTTTGGTGCTTTTTGAAATTCAAAAGTTGGCAACACTGAGGTCAAACCCTTTCTTTTGACACCTCATCTTTTAAAATCGAACGAACGATAGAGATTTATGACTCGGTGTTAAATATTTAACGCAACTCTTTGTGGCAGAGAAATTTTGAATTCGATTTTCTAACATGTGGCCACTCCTTCCATGAAACTAAAGCTATGTTGCACACCCAAAGGACGAGGCCTTTCATGTGACACCTCATTTTCAAAATCGAACGAACGGTACAGATTTTATGACTGGGATTTTAATCCCAGTCGGAAAAGTAGTAATGCATTACATGCGTGATAAATAATATAATTTATTTCTTGTGAGCTCTCGATCATATTACTGCTAACTATGTAATCAGCATTCCAATGTATTCAAAAAGTTACAAAAATTTTACATTAAAACACATTCATTCCTCGATACTAGGTAATGCAAAATTGATTGCCCCGCATTCTAACTAGGGGATTTTGAAATTCGTTTTTGAAAATTTTACACCATTTTGTAGTGGTAGCTCTGAATATTTTGTATTCTGTTTATTCCTGCACAACCTGTTGGTTGCTGCTGCCTTTTATCACTGCTGCTTTCAACACAAGAGCAAAACTATTGGAATTGTCCGCATTGTTTTTTTTTCGTGTGTGAGTACTTGAGTGTTGAGATAGCTGATTTAACGCCTGCTCTTAACTTCCCCCACCTCTTACTGCCTTTGCATTGCGTTGTTGCTACTAATTTTCAATTATGTTCAAATGTCTGTTAGTTTGCTGCTAACTCTAAAATTCGTTTGTTGCAAATGCATTTTTTATACCCGAGCGCACTTGTGCACAAGGGTATATTAATTTTGTTCACATAACGGTTGTTTGTAACAGCCAAAACGAATCGAGATAGATATAGACAAATGTATACATAAATGATCAGGATGAAAAAAGAAATCGATTAAGCCATGTCTGTCTGTCCGTC